AACAATACACCCACAGGACAGACCAAGGCCCTCTACAGAGGGTAACTGGCAATTACTCTGTGGGCTTCTGTCACTTTGATCTCTGGGTCGTGACCTTTGCTTTCCTGTGATCTTCAAAGCCCAGATTGTAGATTAGCTAGAGAATGCTCGCTGGGTTATGTAAGCCACAAGTTTTACAGCTCCTATTCTGCTGGGAAATGGTGGCAGCCCAGAGCGACCAGACGGCAGAGGGTCCCTCCCTCCTTCCCTTTGACTGAGTGCTGCAGACACTGGGCAGGCCCCAGGGCTGCTCCGTGCAGGGGAACAAAGAAAGGGCCTCACGTTTTAAATAACTGAAAGTTGTAAGGAATACAGAAGGGCCTGCGGGGAGGAGGGAGGAAGGCAAGGCCAACCAGAGACTGGAGTGGCAGGGGGGATGAGCAACAGAGGGTTCAGTGACAGAAGAAGAACTAAGAGACCATGAGACCGACTTCCTTATTTGAAAGGTTAACTCCAGACTTCTCTCCCGTTGACCTTCAGTTCATTGTTCTTTCTATAGCAAAAAGAAAAAAAGAATTGCAAGGGAAGACAAGAAATAGGCCATTCTGGGCACCCAACTTTCCCATATTGATTTGTTATTTTGGCTAGTGTTGAAATCCACAAGGGGCACCAGAGTGGTTTCCTAGTTACCATGGTGGTCTCTCTGACCAAGCCTTGCACCGCTGTTCTCTTCCTGCCGGAATCCTGGAGGCTGCTGATTATCACATTCACCTCCATTCAACATTGATCCCAAAATAGCAGCATGGTGTGTACACACCGAAAAGCAGACAGGTTTAAGCTCCTATAATAACAGGGCTGTGGACATTTCTCAGCCATGAACTATGATGAATGGAAAAGAGAAACCCCAGGCATGGTTCTGCTCCTGCCCCAGTGGGGCCAGGGCACTACTCAGCAACTTGGTAGTATGTTCATGCTCACATATAAGTTTAATGAGCCTGTTTTATGATGGGGATGTGTGCCAAGAAAACCCAAGTGGGTGCACAGGGGGTAAGTGAGGAAGTGAAAGGGGTGAATGTAGGAGGAGGGGAGGAAAGACTCCGCAGAAACTCAAGCTCCGTGATGCCATTTCCAATAACTACATAAATCGAGTCACTTCCCATTTCTGGTCCAGTGGCTGGCCACAACGTGACCTAAAACTGAGCTGACCTCTTTGAAATCAACATCTCCCATGGAAACGAAACAACAGACACACTTGTTTTGATGTATGGCTGGGTGACATATTATAAATATTACATCACATAACCACAGAGGATGCCAATCAATAAGAAATTTTTTCAGACAGCACTAAATGAACCATGGGTTCTTGCTTCTGAATACACTCCTTTAAGGCTCCTAGTATTGCTTAAATGATTAATAGAAGACATATTGTCAGAAAATGTACTTAAAGTGAAAAACAGTAAACTGTAGATATATCATTCATTTTTAAGCAATTTTCTAGTGAAAATGTCACATAAATTTACATAGAGGCTCTACTATTAGTCTCTGGGTAACAGCTAGAAGGAAGGAAAACCTCATGCTTTGTGGATAAAGGGCCAGGAAAATGTCTTACCAAAAAAAAAAAAAAAAGAAAAAAAGGCAGCTGCATTGCTTTGTATAAACACAAATGCGACAGGAACTCTAGAATCAAAAGTCACATTGCAAAACCCTAAAATTTCTCAGTGTCAAATGGAGCACAAACTCCAGGAAGGACAAAGCGGATCTGCTTACAAACCAATGAATGGAAGGATATCAAACACATATCTATCTCTTCCATATACAAGTGTAAGCGCTCATCAAACCAACAGTAAAAAATAAAGAGATTAAATGAATAAAAAATTTAAATATGCTAGAGAATCCGCCTACCATTCCACTCTATAGCCAGTTGCTGTGCACTGAATGTGTAACTACATGGAAACATATTCACTGTTCCTTGTACTGTTCTTAGTTCCCATTTCTCCAGTAATGCAAGCATCTTGCCATCACTGTGGATGACATGAATTTTCTAAGTTAATTTTGACTAGGTATGATTTTGGCTTTGTGTAACCTCTAGAATCTAGCCTCTCATGGCAACTTTGTCATATGCACACTCACAAACCACCTCTCTAACCCCACACCTCAAATCCTTCCAAGGAAACAGAAATGGAGTGGGGAGGATGGGCTTAGAGGGTAGCCAGGCTAGCTGATGAGATAGACCACACTTGTAGAATCTAGCCCTCCATAAAGATTCATGACCCATAACCAGCACTTGGATTGAGTCTGAATCACAGTCCTTTGCTTAATAGCTGCCTTTCTTGACATCCAAATGAATCTGATTCCAAATGGGCAGAAGGCATCTGAGGTGGCTAAGGGTCCCTGTATCTCGCTATAAGTTCCTAGCTCCTGAGAAGAAAAGGTGGCTTCAAATCACCTCCAGAAAAAAAGAAAAAAAAAAAAAAAGGTACCAAACCCCTTTCTCATATCCAGCACTACTTGAGGCATTGATGAGGCTTCAAGAGTCAAGACGACTCAGCTCCTACCCACTGGAAGCCATTCTCTAGATGTGGAAATATATGAAGAAATAAGAGAAATACACAAGATAAAATATATAAAATGGTGTGAGACAGTAAAGGAAGAAAAGGAACTGTTTGGGAGCAGAGTGTCTCAGAATGCTAAAGCCAACTGGACATCAGAAACACCTATGGACTGCTGTGTTGTAATTGCCACCAACTGCATCAGAATGCCTTGGAGGACTCAGAGGCTTATCTTTGGTTATGGAATACTGATCTAGACTGTTCTTCCATATTATAGGTCCCACTGGCAAAGTTGGACTCCACATCGGATCTTCTGATCTGACCCTGTATACCTTGGTCTTAGTACTTTTGCTAATCCAATCAGTCACAATAGAAAAAAAAATAGTAATTATTTGAGAGCTGATGGTACAGAAAAAGAAAAGAAAAAAATTATATTAGCTTTTCTTTTCCTTTTGCAACCTCATAAGTCCTGTACTTGAGACCAGTAATGTGGAACTGGAAACTTTCCTCTCTATCTCTCTCCAGAAAAAATCAACAAAAACTTGCCTACATGGTTGATTTCACACATAGCTTACTGGACAAATGAATGAATGAACAAGTGTGTAAATGTGTGTACACACATGTAATTATATACGTATAAACAAAGACATATATGCATATGCACATATACAAAATTTATTATTTTTAAGAGTTATACACAGAAATCTAAAGAAAAAAGCTATAAAACAAATAAGAATTTCCTGAATCTTGGTTTTCCAAAAATGTTTATTGTTTATGTTCTTAGATGTGCTTGGCCCTTCCAAGACATATCTTAAAATAAGTTGCTTCAAGAAGAAAAAATATGCTAAGTGACTCATTCCCACCTGAAATCAGGCTGCTAAATGCTTCAAAGTTTGTAAAAGTATTACAGAAGCAAATCAAGTTCTAAGTGATTAGGTGACTTAAGAAACAGGGGTTTAGTAATTTGTAAGTATCCAATTGCTAGACTTTAACTGTATTTCTCTTAATAGAAGTTACATTCAAATCTATACCATTATATTCCAAATGAAAATCTTCATGATGGAGAAAGATTTAATATTCTTTTTAAAAGTAGGGTTAGAGCTTTGTTCTAAGATAGGTTAATAACCCTCTTAGATCCCTATAAAATTAATGAAGGCCGGGCACAGTAGCTCACGCCTGTAATCCCAGCACTTTGGGAGGCCGAGGCGGGTGGATTACCTGAGGTCAGGAATTCGAGACCAGTCTAACCAACATGGTGAAACCCCGACTCAAAAAACAAAAAAGAATAAAATTAATGAAGAATTCTAGAAAATGAAGTTAAAGGTACAAAATTCTCCCCCAGATTCTCCCCACATGTAAGTGTTTTTATGTGTGTTTTAATCTATAATGTTCAATAGCCTTTAGTATTTCTTACAGCTTTGCCTTTATACAAAATGAAGGCCCCCAACTACTTTCCTTCATGCATTATGACAGATTTTTATGTAAGTCCAAATAGAACGAGTTCCCCCCAACCCTTATCCTTTTCCCCCAACTCTTCCAAATCTATTTTCCAAGAACCCTACCTGACTAATATTTCCTTCCTTCCTTTCTTCCCTCCTTTCTTCCTTCCTTCCTTCCTACATTGATTCAGGTGGGATGTTTAATGAGAGCTTATGTCATAATGGAGAGAGAGGCTAGATATATGAAAAGGTCATTAAAGCATTTACAAAACAACAATCAACAATGAGAGCACATACAATTTTAAATGAAGAAGGAAAATTAAGTGAGTTTGGTAAAACAGGTAAGACCAAAAAGACTCTCTAAATGACTTCGGATCGGGGCTTTTAAAGCAGATGGGTGAGAAGTATACAGAAGAATGAAAAGCATCTCTACTTGGAGCCCATCAAAGCGCATGGCTGGGGGACACTGTGGCAGAGCTCTATGGTGGAGAGGTATGGGCCTGTGGGACTTCTTGAGATTGTATATGAGCTCCCTAAATTTTGGTGGGAAGTCATCTCTCTCTGCAAAGTGACTCTGAGACAGACCACAGAAAGATCTTACAACACAGAGCAGGGGTCAGCAAGTGACAGCCCATGTGTCAAATCTGGACTGCCACCTGTTTTATAAATAAAGCTTTACTGGAACAAAGCCATGATCATTTGTTCACAAATTACGTATGGCTACTTCTGCATTATGAAAGCAGAGCTGAGTAGTTGTGACAGAGTCCATATAACTTGCAAAACCTAAATACTTAATATCTGACACATCACAAAAAAAGTAGACAAGGCAATGACTTTTCATCTTTCTTAGTTTTTGTGACCTCAACCAAGGGAGACAATGGCTGTAGGTTACCAAAAGCTAAAAGTTTAACATTGTCATGGGAAGCCCAATGATATATACCAAACATCTACTATGCACCCCAGAGTACAGTATCATCCCCTAAAGCTTCTATTTTCCCCTTTTCCCACCACGCTCCAACCCCTGGATACTCACCTGTATCTCTTGTAGTCCTCCTCATCCTTTTCCAAGCTGACCAGCTCGTTGGGACAGGCCACATTGCCCAGCAGGCTGAGGTACTCCAGAGCTGGTGTCACTTCTGCCAAGTGATCCAGGAGATATTCCAAATCGGTGATGTGACAAAGGTTAAGGATCTTGGTCCAAAAAGACAAAAGGCTAAGCAAGGAGGGTAGGCTGATGAGCCCAGTGTGCCCCTGTGAGACCACAGGGTGAGGACTGAAATAAATTCAGCTGTGGGTATATGGTATTGCTACTTTTCCACTCCCACTCTTGGGAACACAGCCCAACTTTTCGCTGGGCAGGTAAGTCTAAGTCCAGATCATTTGAGGAAGAATGAATAAACTTGATTGTGTCATCATACTTCTTTTTCATCGTTCTGTTTTTAAAACATGATAAAAGGGAAGATTCCATAGAGTAAAATAGTTTCACAGCATGAATAACCATAAAACTTAATTCTTTTCTAGTAATGAAAACAAGGGACAAGTATGGTGACCCACACCTGTAATCCCAGCACTTTGGGACGCCCTGGCAGTCAGATGAATTGAGGTTAAGAGTTCAACATCAGCCTGGCCAACATGGTGAAATCTTGTCTTTATTAAAAATACAAAAATTAACTGGGCATGATGGTGGGAGCACCTGTAATCCCAGCTATTCAGGATGCTGAGGCAGGAAAATCATTTGAACCTAGGAGACCAGAGCAAGACTGTTTCAAAGAAACAAAACAAAAAAACAGAAAGTATTTCAGAAGACCTCATTAAAATATATTCTCCTTTCTCTGTTAGTGGGGGAATTAGAGAATGGAAGAGAAAAGTCAGAGGGGGGCATCATGGGGGAGATTATTCCAGGAGCCATCCTCCACTGGGGGGCATCATGGGGGAGATTATTCCAGCAGCCATCCTCCACTGGGACCCACTGTCCAATCACAGCCAAACCAAACAAGGCAAAGGCCATAGATTCACAGAATCACAGGTATTGGAAAGGGTTTAGTGATAGCCTACTCCTCATACTAACTCCTGGCTTAAGCCACATAGAGATGAGGTGAGCCTACATAAGGTGATTAGATAGGCATGCATGGTTAGGCCATGACTTCCAGGGACACATGAGAGAGGAATTAAGCAGGTCAGCAGATAAAAAGGGGTCCCAGCCAGGAAATGGCAGCAGAGCTACAGGAGCAAAACATACAAGGGTAAATAAAATGCCATATGCAAGAGTCAAAGACTCAGAGTACAGTTCCCAGAAGGAGAAGAAGGTAAAATTAAAAAAAAAAAAAGTGGGGGGATGTTCTTGCTCTGTGAGGATGTATCTAACCTTGGGATGTGATACACATTTTCTCATACTTCATTTCAACTTGCCACAAAAGCATGAACTCCAGATCCAACCAATGTCTGAATCAGGTCCCTAATATATTTACCAAGTGGTCACCACAACAGAGCACATTCCATTTCTGACAACCATAATGGTTTTTCTTTCCCTTGGAACTGAATCTTTCCCTAACCTCTACTCACTGACCCAATTTAACTGCTTGGGGTCACAAAGAATAAGGCTTCTTCCCTTCCACATGACAAGCCTTCAGATATTTGAAGCTCACATGTCTTCCTTAAACCTTTTACTCTCCAAACTAAGTTCTTTCGAGCATTCTTTACACACATGCTCTGCCACCATCACGTGCAAGGCCAAATGCTGTACACTAGGTGAGTACAGCAGGAGACAATGAGAAGCAGAGCACAAGCAAGAGAGGGGGAAACTAACAAGAGGGGGAAACTAGAAAAAGAGGGGGGAACTACCAACAGGGAGGAAACTAGCAAGAGAGGGGGAAACTAGAAAAAGAGGGGGGAACTACCAAGAGGGGGGAAACTAGCAAAAGAGGGGGGAACTAGTAAGAGAGGGGGAAACTAGAAAAAGAAGAAACTAGCAAAAGAAAGTTGTGAGCACACTCATTTGCTTTGGCTTCAATTCACCAACATCCTCCCTGCTTCCTAAATAAAGACAGAAAAAGGGACATGGAAGTTTGTTGCCAAACTCTCTAATCTTTCACAACATTCAGAGATAGCCAGATAGGAAGGCTCAAATGAAGAGGTGAGAATGGAAGTTCATGCAGAGACTAGAGAGAAGGTCCCACCAGGGGAATGAGGTTGGGAGTACAGAGGGCTGGGTGGCCAGGAATCAAAATCAGTGGAGGCAAAATACACTTACTAAAGTTCAATCATCATATTCTCCAGGAAAATTATTTAAATAGAGCCAATTAAAATGACAGTGAACAATTCCAGGGAAAGTTCAGCTTTTCCAGCAGGTTCTATCTTTAAACACTTCAGTCATTGCTACAAAAACAAAAGAAAAAAAAAGTCTCTTTGCTAGTATTGCCATTAGATGTGGGCACAGGTACCTCAGGTGCCTGGTGCTTTCAAGCACCCTCCTCAGAATGTTCTAAGTCCCCCTCCGACACCCAGGACTGGAAGGTGTCATTCAGGTATAATACCTCAGGCCTGGACCTAGACCCAGGCCTGCATGGGCCTCAGTTCCAGGCTTCGTTTCTCTCCTTCATAGTTTGCTCCAACTTTCTAACCCACCCATGCAACCAATCAGATGTTCCAAGGAGCACCAGGACTCATGTCTGTATCAGGTTGTTTTAAAGTCTCAAGGCCAGGCCCTTGTTCCAGGGAGGGCAGCCAGGCAAGCTAACTACTGCTACTGGCCAATACGGTATATCTTTTGTGGGACTGTAAGAGTGTGGGCTACCAGAATGGTGCTGACACATCGACTTGGAGTGATTCTGATTATTTATGTAGACAAGGGCCCTACACGATGGAGGGAAGTCCTCTCTACTGCAGATGGAAAGGTTGGACCTAAACGAACTTTCTTCTTATGAAACATTCCTCAAAGCTTGGCTTTTTTTTCTGTCTACTATATGAAGGTGGGGATATTCAGGAATGGAACCCCAAACTGGCAAGGTTTTTAATTTGAGGAAATATTGGGCAACTGAGTTGGATTGAAATGCCAGTCATTTCTCAGCATGTAGTGATGAGTGAAGGAAGCCTAGCCGGCCACCATCCAGGGAAGTCGGCCTAGATTAAGTTGAGTAGACTTTTACATGTAGATCTACCATGGAGCTCATGTGTCAAGGGCTTCTTGCTTGCATCGGCACCTTCCAAGGCCCTGGGAAATACCCTGGTAATAGGGTCACATGATCATGTTTTTTTTTTTTTTAAATTTGCAAAAGTAGGTTATTTACACTCATCTGTGGAGATCACTGTCTCGCTTCAATAGGACTTCTTTACCACACTTTCCTTTGAGTTGGGTGGCAATGGGAGTATCTATGGGAATCCTGGGGACCCACCTAAGGGGACTTTGTGTAGGAGTGACATTTAATTTTGATTCACTGGGGATATAGTTACATAATTTGCAGGCACTCTGTGTCTAGTTAAATTATTCCAACAATATCAGTAGCAATGGCTTCCAGTAATACTTTTACTATCCACCATATTAACATAAATATGCAGGGACCAACACAAAACTGATGGCAAAATGATAAACTTATCCATTCAAAGAACACTTAAGATTCAGTTGGCAAGTGTATGTATACATGCACACACATAGACACACACACAACATGAAATGCCCTGAAATATTTTTATTTTTTATTTTTTTTGAGACAGAGTCTCACTCTGTAACTCAGGCTGGAGTGTAATGGTGTGATCTAGGCTCACTGCAACTTCTGTCTCCTGAATTCAAGTGATTCTCCTGCCTCAGTCTCCCAAATAGCTGGGATTATAGGTGCGCGCCACCACACCCGGCTAATTTTTGTATTTTTAGTAGAGACAGGGTTTTGCCATGTTGGCCAGGCTGGTCTTGAACTCCTCACCTCTGGTGATCCACCTGCCTCAGCCTCCCAAAGTGCTGGGATTACAGGCATGAGACACTGTGCCTGGCCGAAATGTCCTGAAATCTTATACAGCTCCTACCATATATGAAAGAAATGTGTAAGGGTTTCTCTAAAATGCAATAGTCCTAAAAGTTGTACCAATAATGTAGTGGTAAAACTACCAATAACAAATGGTGAAACTGAAAAAAACATTTCTAAACTATTTTTAAAAATCAGTTTTCAGGCCGGGCTCAGTGGCTCACGCCTGTAATCCCAGCACTCTGGGAGGCCGAGGCGGGCGGATCATGAGATCAAGAGATCGAGACCATCCTCGCCAACATGATGAAACCCCGTCTCTACTAAAAAAAATACAAAAATTAGCTGGGCATGGTGGCGTGCACCTGTAGTCCCAGCTAGTCGGTAGGCTGAGGCAGGAGAATTGCTTGAATCCTGGAGGTTGCAGTGAGCTGAGATCGTGCCACTGCACTCCAGCCTGGAGCCTGGTGATAGAAGGAGACTCTGTCTCAAAAAAAAAATTAAAAAAATATATCAGTTTTCAATCAACCATGCTAAAAGAGGGAATGATCTATTCTCTCTACAGAAAAATTGTAAAATTTCACCAAATAATGAAGCTATGAGAGACTTTGTAGAAAAAAGTAGGAAAAAAAGTTTCTCTAGAGGCATATCTAGTATAAAGATTTAGGTATTTTGACATTTGTGGAGTTTATCATTATTTAAAATTTTTCATTATTTGGAATTTCAAAATTTCCTTTGATACCATTCTATTCCAAATAAACATTCACTTCGTACCTAATTTTGCATTCCTAATTATATAGTCTTTAAGAGGGCTCTCTCTAATTACAGAGGTTTCATACTCCCTGAAACCTGGATCTGCCCCTAGGCAGGAGGCCATGAAGAAGTGGATTATTTGAATGCCCCGATCATGAGACTTTCTTGAGCAAGGGGTCTGCAAGTTCCAAGAACCTTCAGCCATTCTTTGCCAATGAATCCAAGAGATTTCTAAGAGCCTGCCTATCTTTGGGTATTTTATATGGTAGAAGCTCCAGCTTCCTATACAAATGATACATTTGGCTGAGTCAGGTGGTCCCCCCCAAATCCACACCAGGCAGGAAGCACTAGCACCTCCTCCTTGCATGCTCTAGACTAGCCCTTCACCTTGATGTTGATAGCACCACCAGAGGATAAAACATGAGAAGACGTTTTAATTGGTTTCTTCGTCTCCTGGGTCAGTAATGA